CTCCCTCCCTCCCTCTCTCTGTCTCTCTCTCTTTCTCTCTTTTTCTTTTCTTTTTTTTTTTTTTGGTGGAGCTGGGGATCAAAAGCAAGGCCTCCAGCATAACATGCTAGGCAAGCATGGAGCTATATCTCCAGCCCTGAAGTCTTAATATATATATAATAGGGTTCTGGGAAATTTGATGAGAACTGACTGTGACTATTTACTGAATTATACCATAAATTGTTTAATTAACTCATTATCTAAGTAATTATTGAGCATCTACTGTGTGGCAGACACTGAGAATACAGAAATTTTAAAAACGTCCTTCTTTCTGTACCCCAGTAATTTGTTAGCTCTTTAGAACTGTAAAGTGCTGTTTATTTATTTGATAAATGTTAATATATGTTAGTTTATTAACATAGCACACTGTTTTCTATCAGATACCGAGTTTATTGTATTTATTTATTTTGTGTGTGCACTCCTGCATGCCCCATAGTGTACATGTGGAAGTCAGAGGACAATTTGCAGGAGTCAGTCCATTTTCTCCTTCCACATGTTGGTTCTGGGGATTGAACTGAGGTCATCAGTGTTGGCAGCAAACACCTTTATTAGCTAAGCCCTCCCACTGGCCCGGGTGCTGATTTTAAAAAGGAAAATCCTGAAGCTTAGAGTTCAGATAGTTTTCCTCCAGAGTCACAGTTGATAAGCAACAGATTTAGTACCCTAGTTCAGAACTCCATTTATTACATTGTCATTTCCTTTCAGAAGATGGCAAGAAGTGATAGTTGACAATCTTTCTGTGGAATCAGGTAGTCCTAAAAGTGTCGATTTTAAAAAGAAAGAAAATAAACTCATTTGCTCAACGTCCCACATTAGGATGCTTTTCTCTTAAAATAACAAAGCACAGCTGGCTTAGAAAAGAGTGATCTCCAGGATTCCCTGATATGAGGGTTCCATGATGTCAGCAAGGCCTGATGTTACTTTCATCTCTCTTCTCTAATCTTTGGAGTGCCCACCTTAGCTTTGGGTGTAAACAGGTACCCAGGACAAATGGAATGGCTCCTGTCCTTATTAATTATCAATGGGGGCAAAAAGAGGAAGTCTCTTCCACAAGCATGGACTGGATGTACATTTGTCTTCCTCAGTCTGCTCACTTCTGGACCAGTAGAAGTAGCCAAAGACCTTTAATACACTAGATCTTTTAGATAGCATTTGGAGAGTGGTAGACATCACAGTTGATCACAATTCTGATCTCAGCCAACAAGTGACCATGGTGCTATCTCTGATACTTAACACAAGCCTTGAAATTACTTGGAAAAGGTAGTAAATAAAAATGGCTAGAGTAAATAAATGTTGATACAAAAAGACATTTCTTTAGTTACTTCAAGCAATTTTTAAAAATACTGTATTTTTATTCATTGTGAATCATGCATGCATACAATGTATTTTGATCCTTTTCACTTCCCACAATCCTTCACCTAACTCTTCCCAGATCCACCTCCAATACTTAAAGCTATTTACTTATTTGAAATATTCCATTCATGGGTGTTCATTTAGTAGCTAAAAAATGGGGTGGGGGGACCAGAATGTCTTGTACAAGACATAGAGAGGTGAACAACATAAATGAAGTTTCTGAACCTGGCGAAGTTTATATTATAATGTTTGAATAATAATTAGTGAATAAACAGTGATCATTAGTGTTTAAGTATTGTGCAGGCAAAAACAAGATGATTGGTGAAGGACCCACTTGAACTGATACTTAATTGATAGATATGACCTATGAGAAAGAAGGAGCAAAATTACAAAATTAGCAAATGCAAAGTTCAAAAAGTATAAATGTACTTGGAACTTTTGAAGACCAATGAACACAAATGGAAGAATTGTACAAGGCTAGACAGTTGGACAGGACACTGTAATTACTTAGGACCATAGACTATATAGACAGGGTTGTTTGAGTGTTCTTCAGAGCTAGAAAGAAGCTTTGAGATTTAAGGAAAGGATTTTGCTTGTTGGGTTTCCTCTTTAAAAACACTCTAGGGACTGTAGAGATGGCTCAGCAGTTTAGAGCACTGGATGCTCTTCCAGAGGACCTGAGTTTGGTTCCAAGCATCCATATCAGGCAGCTCAAAACTACCTGTAACTCCAGCTCAACACCCTCTGGCCTCCTCAGGCACCTGTACATATATGGCTTACACTCATATACGCATACACTTAAATAAAAATAAATCTTGGAAAGTAATTAAAACTCTAGTAGCTGTGTGAAGAATGGATGACAGTGAAGCAGAGTAGAAGCAGGTTAGGAAGGTAGTTTCTGATGCCAGCATTCCTAGTGAGAGGTGGCCACAGTAGAAGTGGGAAGTAGGTAAATCATCTATTTCAGAGCTAGAACTAACAGTCCCGACATCATTACACTCCCCTTTCCTCAGAGATAAATGACTTGGGCAAATACAAATTAAAGGAGAAAAATCAAGAGCTTCATTTATTATAAATTTTGAATCCTTGCTAGACGTTGAAGTAGAGATGTCAAATAAGCAAGTTGATTGATGACTAAAGCTTAGAGGAGAAACCAGCTGAGTGAGCTGATGCTATGTATGAATGTGTTCTTATACTTTTGCTTTTCTCCTACTTTGTATTTAGATGCAGTAATTTTTATTTTCCATGTCGTTTCCATGCATTTTCCATGTCACAGTATTTGTATTTATCACTCATTTGTAGTTATACTACCTGCTTTTTCTCTCTCCCATTTAAAAAAAATACTGATGGATGTAAACTAGTAATGAATGCAGCAAATCAATTGAACTATACAAGATAGAGTTTATACATAATTGAGTTAAGACTATGTTGGTCAGCTGGATGTAGTGACACACGTCTTTAATCCCAGCACTCAGGAGGCAGAGGCAGGCAGATCTCTATGAATGCCAGCCTGGTCCACAGAGTGAAGCCTTGTCTCAAAAAGAATATGTTCGTCAGAGGTCAGGTCTAAAAGTATAGCCTAGGGCTGATCTTGCATGTAGGAGGCTAAGGATTTGATCCTCTCACACCCTTCTCAGAAAAAAGTTGGTAAAAAGATGTAATTTTTCAGTAGGAATAAGTTCAAGAATTTCATTGTACAACCTTGTGACTACTTAGTAACAACAAATTGTATTGAAAATTAGTAAAAGTAAGTTTTAAGTTTCTTGCCTAAAAAGATGAATAAATAATGTAACCTGATTTAACCATTCCATAATTTATTCATGTTTCAAAACATTTTATTATACATGATAAATATATACATCTTTAAAAAGTGATATAATTTTCAAAACTAGAATACCTACTATTAAGTATTCTAAACACTGCAATGTCATTTTTATTGTATATATGCTCTGTTATTCTGATTGCACATAATAGATTAGATATTAAATATGCTTATCTTTTAACTATATTCACACATTGCTATATCTGACAACTTTTTTAATTTATACTATATAATTCATATTAACCATGCCCTTAACTTTTAAGACAAATATGACATTTTCATTTTTAAGTATAAAGTGAACTTTAAGAAAACCTTAATGATTGCTGTTAATGGTTGTAGATGGAAATGTCTTCATGTTTGAGGTAAGGAATTGAAGGCAGGTACCAGTAGTCTGTGTGCTTTCCCCTCCCAAAGAATTGATCTGCAATGTGGCTGCTTTTTCAGGTTACACATATTGTTTCAGAAGTGAAATTATAGTTATTTCAGAGTTTATAGTATTTTAGAATTTATACAGTACAGTATGTGGTTTTACAGGAAGCCTTAGGAGAACATCTTATCAAATCAGCTTCTAAAAAAAATAAATACTAAATACTAGAGCAAGGAGGTTACTGAGCCTAAGCTTTTATTAGCAGTAATTGTTTATTTCTTTCATGCATTTCAGGTTTATCATTTATCTTGGTCTTTTTTTCCTGTGCCAGGTGGTGTCACTATATTTGTGGCCTTATATGATTATGAAGCTAGAACTACAGAAGACCTTTCCTTTAAGAAGGGTGAAAGATTTCAAATAATTAACAATACGTAAGTTTTGTGTATTTTTTTTTTTTCTTTTTTTTTGTAAGAGAGGAATCGGGTCTCTGCATTGAACCACTGATGGAGTTGATGATGTGGAGATGAGAGTGGTGGGGTACGGATTTTGTCTTTGGGTTAGATGGTGATGCATTTGGCTTCTTGAGACACATTGGATAATATATTGCTACAAGCAGAAGTTACTACTTTTGCAAATTGTGCTTATGGAGTTAGTCTGTAAACAGAGGTTTTAGAAGAAAGAGTTCGTTCTAGGTGTGGTGGCACTAACCTATAATCTCAGCACTAGAGAGGCTAAGACAAAAAGTTCTTGAGTTTGAGGCTAGCCTAGGCTGCATAGTGAATTCCAAGTCAACATGGGCTGCATACTTACCAAGTTCCTGTCTCCAAAATGATGCCCCTTATAAAAAGATCTTTAGGAAGTAAAATCTGTATTTATATAAATACCAGATGACTTTAAAACCTTATTTGTTGGGAGAGTGGCTAGGACATGGAAACCTTGTACTCTGAAACTTACCAAATTGTGTTTTTCTTATGTTTACTCTTAGACTTTGTCATTTAGCGGTCTGCCATAGAAAATTTGGTGCTTGTTATGCAGCAGATTTCATAATTTCATTAACAAGCATAACAAATACTTTGTAACTTCTCAAAGCACATACTTATGGTCTTCTTTGCTTCTAGTCATGTTTCCCTTTATTGTTGTTTTACCATCTGTTACCACTTACTGTTCCAGAACATAAACTGTGATTGTGTGTCTCTGCCTTAAGATCCTTCAGTAGCTAATGATGCTATGAAGACTTAAAGCTACCCAGCCATACTGAAGTACTTGCAATATTTTGAGTACAATAGTTTCTCACCCTCTTCATGCCTTTACACATGCTATTTCTTTTTCTAGAATGACTTTTCTAGAATGAAATAGAATGGTCTATGTCTTTCTTTTTTGTGGGGTGGAAGGGTTGCCCGTTCGAGATGGGGATGGAGTCCTGAGTCTCAAGCATGCGAGCCTGTGCTCTGTCACTAAGCTATACTTGATCCCATGTTTCTTTCCTCTTTCAAGTTAGCCTTCCTCATCCTTTAAAAGACATTTCCTATGCCCTTTTCAGTGGTTCCTCTCCTTGTCTTGTTCTTCTCCTGCCTGGCTCAGTTCCCACACCCTACTCTATGAAGTGTTTCTCTTAGGTATTTGCATGTTGCTCTACAAACCTCAGTCATGGTTGTCATCACATTGTAAATTACAGTTTTTATTTTGACTTGTCATTCTTTTAGACCCGTGGGTCTCGGTTTGAGGCAGAATCACACAGGAAGTACTTAGCAGTGTCTAGAGATACTTTTGGTTGTCAGTCAGGATGAGAGTGTGGCTGTTGTCACCTGTGTAACAAGCCACGGATATTGGTGAAGTCCTGCTATGTACATGACAAAGATTCATCAACTCCGAAGTGTCAGAGTGTTAGTACCATTAAAATTGTCATCCCTGCTCCAGAGTCCGTTCTTGAGCTTAAGGACTGCTGTTTGCCTTACACTTAGTAACACTCAGTGAGTGACGTAGTTAATGCAAAGTTTTAGTTTAAGAAAGGATTACCACAGGTTCTAGGCCAGCCAGGGCTACATAGTAAGACTTTATAATGAATATGAGAAAAGATTTAATATATTCTAGGACACCACTAATCAATGTATCTATTTTCAAATAGTTAAATTATCAAAAACTTCCTTAATTCTTTTTTTTAGAGAATAAATTCACTTTAAACATGTATAAAAATTTCAGTTTGTACAATAACATGTAATCTTTAGTAGTGAATCACATATATAACTTCTTTTTAGAGATACTTTCATAGGAATTTTGGAAAAGCCAAGGTTAATATATTCTAAACAATATACAGTTCTCATGTTTTGAATTATAGTATTAGTCTTGCTGATATTTGGATATCAGTTTTTGAATAACATGCTTGTTTTATTTGAATCAGGGTCTTGCTATATGGCCCAGCCTGACTTTGAACTCACTGTTACTGCCCCTCACCTCCTGGGTGCTGGATCATAGGCTTTTGCCACTACCACTAGAAATTCAACTTTTTTAAAGGAATAGTTTTGTGAGAGAAACACACACATACACACACACACACACACACACACACACACACACACACACACTGTGGGTATGTACACGTACCACGGTACACGTGTGGAGGACAATTTTTGGAAATAGGTTCTCTGTCCCCCTAACCCCCATAGGACTGGGGATCACTCAGGTTGTTAGACTTGGAAGCAAGTGCCTTTACCCACCAAACCATTTCACCAGCTCTAGAAAATCAACTTTGGATTGTTATTATTCATTGCTAAGTTTTTGGCTATAAGCATACTAAGGCCTTTTATTTTATTCCTTAGGTGACTTTTTAAAAGTTACAATTTTATATGCTATTAAGAAGGAAGCATTTGGTAACAACAACAAAAAATTATCTGACATAGGCTAAAATATGGGTGAACGTTAATAATATTATTCTAAGAAGGCCATCACAAAAGACTTCATAAATGGCCCCATCTCACACAAAAAAGCATGTCCATAGAAATTATCTATCTTTCTATCTTTCTACCTTTATTTTCTTTCTTTATCAGTATGTGTATGATGTGTGTGTGTGTGTGGGGGGTGCACACATGGAGCCCAGAGGCGGCTTGGTGTATGTAGTTGGTTCTCCTCCTTTCCACTGGCTCTGGGGACTGAACTTAGGTCAGTAGCTTGTGTGGCAACTGCCTTCCCCTGCTGAGATATCTTGCCAGCCCAGGGTTTTTATGGTGGCGAAATGTTCTAAAATGTGTTATTTTGATGACTGTACAACTCTGAATATATTAAAACCCTTAAATGTTGTCCTTTAAATGTGAGATGTGTATGGCATACAAATAAAATCTCAAACTTCTAAAATTTTATTTAAAATTTACTAAATTTCTTTATTCAGCATAGTTCGTCAGGTTTAGTTGAAAGAATTAACATGAAAAAGGTAAGTCTAATTCAAGTGTGCAGTATTTAGGGGTTTTCTGTTATTCCTGTTGGTTTAGAACAGGTAGGTGCAGTTGTGCTTTTATGTGGTCTTAATTTATTTAACCAGCTTTTAAAAATACCCTTCTTTTGAATTTAGCTCTTTGTTTGATTAATCCATAAAAAAATCGAGATTAAAAATGAAAGTGGTTCCTGTTCTTTGCTTGAGATAAGAATTACACCTGGGGTAAGCGTCTGCATTGTAGTGATTGTTGGGTTTTTTTTGTCTTGCAGGGAAGGAGACTGGTGGGAAGCAAGATCAATTGCTACCGGAAAGAATGGTTATATCCCTAGCAATTATGTAGCACCTGCAGATTCCATTCAGGCAGAAGAGTATGGTGCTACTTCATATTTTATTAATCACTTTGACTTTTATAATGTTTTGATGCACATTCTACTTAACCACAACTTTACACTCAGTTATATACCAGTCTTAATACATCTAATGTGTCATATTAATAAATGCTGTTTGAGAATTAATAATTAATGTGTCTGCTCAGAGACACACAGCAAGTAAATCTGCATTAGTCATTGTACATTGTATTTAGTCTCTTTCCTTTATTTTTCTGTTTATTTTTAAAACTCATTTTTTTACACTCTGTAGACTATCTCTTCATCTCCTTGCACAGTGTATACATTTGTGATACTTGTTTGTTTTTGCTGATACAAATCGTCACAACAGTGTTCTTTTTCTACTATGATTTTTGTTTGGTTATTTGTCTTTAGTATTCTGTGAACCTTCCCACAGCAATGACTGTCATTTTTGTCACATAGCTTTATTAAATCAAACCCACATGAGTTTGGAGTCCCCTATAATTTTGGTATGATCTCCTTGCATCTTACTGAATACAAGTGATCATACTTGTTTCCAAAGAATGCATTACCCCTCACTGACAGATTTTCTGTCTTTCCTTCTCTATTTGCTGGTTTACTGGCTGGTAAGGGGAATTTAAGAGACATACTGAATAGATAGTACATGGAAAAACTGTTAGAGCATATTTCCACAGTTTTGTTTTTTGTTTTGTTTTAGTTGGTTTTTTTTGTTTTTTTTTTTTTGAGACAAGGTTCCTCTGTTTAGCCCTGGCTGACCTGGAACTTGCTCTGTGGACCAGGCTGGCCTTGAATTCACAGAAATCTGCCTGCCTCTGCCTCCCGAGTGCTGGAATTAAAGGCATGCGGGTTTTTTGTTTGTTTGTTTGTTTGTTTTTGTTTTTGTTTTTGTTTTTCAAGACAGGTTTCTCTGTGTAGCTCTGGCTGTCCTGAAATTTGCTCTGTAAACCATGCTGGCCTTGACCTCACAGAGATCCTCCTGCCTCTGCCTCTGCCTCTGCCCCTGCCCCTGCCCCTGCCCCTGCCCCTGCCCCTGCCCCTGCCCCTGCCCCTGCCCCTGCCCCTGCCCCTGCCCCTGCCCCTGCCTCGGATTAAAGGAGTGTGCCACCACTACCAGGCTGTCACACTCCATTTTTATTGATACATGTATGTAATTTTTCTGATCCTCATACCTTTTTAACTCAAAACATCATTTTTTTTTTTTCAGATGGTATTTTGGCAAAATGGGGAGAAAAGATGCTGAAAGATTACTTCTGAATCCTGGGAATCAGCGAGGTATATTCTTAGTAAGAGAAAGTGAAACCACTAAAGGTATGATTATTATATTAATATGTGCATAACGTGCTTTAGGCATGGTTTGAGGAAGCTGGAGTGAACGTGTTCATCTCCCCCTCCTTCCACCGCAGGTGCTTATTCCCTCTCAATTCGTGATTGGGATGAGGTAAGGGGTGACAATGTGAAGCATTATAAAATTAGGAAACTTGACAATGGTGGATACTACATCACGACCAGAGCTCAGTTTGATACTCTGCAGAAACTGGTGAAGCATTACACAGGTAGGTGAGCACTTCAGAGGTAGGAATTAATCTCTGATGTTCTATTTTGTGAGGACAACTCTTTATCTCTCTTAAGCTTTAATATGCTCATTTATATTTACACACAGTAAATCTCCAATAGATGTTGGTGTTCTGGGTTGGATTTTTTTAAAATTATTTATTTAGTGTTTGTGCATGTGATCGTGTGTATGCACACCCATGCTGTGGTACATGTGTGAAGGTCAGGGAGCGACTTAGGGACTCAGTCCTCTTTTCATAACTTGTGGGTCCTGGGGATGAAACTTAAATTACCAGGCTTGGCCACAAGTACCAGCTGAGCCATCTTACTTGGCTGTGCTCTGGTTTCAAAATGAGGAACAATGGCCCAGGCAACATAGCAGAACCATAAATTGGGCGATTGGATATCAGGCTTAAATCAGACTGTAATTGGAATCATTATGCCTTACTGGCATAGTGCTTGCATTGGAGTTCGAGATCATAATGTATAAATGCTAAGATAGATTGAGACAGTAAGTTACAAAACATGACAGCAAATAGTTATGTATATTAAATAGCTAAAATTAAACTTGTAATATAAAAAAGTTATCTCAGAGCTAGGATTGTAGCTCACTGGTAAAGCGCTTACTTACATGTGCTAAGGTTTCCTCCCCAACACTGCAAAAAAGAAAAAGGAATAGAGTCGAAAGTTCTCAGATGAGCCGGGCGGTGGTGGCGCACGCCTTTAATCCCAGCACTCGGGAGGCAGAGCCAGGAGGATCTCTGTGAGTTCGAGGCCAGCCTGGGCTACCA